TGTGTGTGCGAGCGCAGGTGGGGTTGTGTACACTGCTCTTGGACAGTACAGCCCCTACAGTCTGCCGAGATGGTGTGAGCAGGTATTGGATAGTATCACCGTGATTCCGTAGTGGCTTCAAGCAACACATCTAATGTTGGTCGTGTCCGCTAGTCGTGTCCGCTAATCGTGTTTGACTAAATCAGGCAACAAATCTCACACATCTTTTGACAGGAATGTTTATTTTATTACGGAATGTACATGCGCATGTGACATGATGTTAGCGGGACGTGTAATGTGACGTCTCAGTTGTCGAAGTTGCATGTCCAGATGCTGTCGTCCCAGACAAGACCCTTAGGACACTTCATGAGGTACGCAATGTAGTTCCCACACTGGTAGTAGCGACCTCTGTTGGTAGGATGGGGAAAGAACTTCACACGTCTGTCCGGGCAGTAACCTGTAACACACAACACGTATATCTGACATGGGTCATCACAATAGCCAACGCTTACTGTTCACTGTCCAACAGCCTGTTAGTAACAGCAGTTGTCCACAGGAATCTCACCTCTACATCCTTGTGTGTTGCACTCCGCTACTGCTTGCTCCACACTCTCGCCTTCACAGTCAACGCCGCCGTTCTCAGGTTCTGGGTTGTCACATGACCTGACACGTGACTGCTTGACCTTGCCCCCTCCACAAAACGCTGAGCACTCCCCGCCGTCACTGGCGGTCCATTCACCCCATTCACCCCATCCTCCATTCACTGTGAAGTACAGAAGCAGGTGATAAGTCAGACAACCAACCAATTACTACCATCGTTAACATACTACTATATGTATTACCTCTCAACATGTATCAACCTTCCATTTTACCTTCCATTACAACGTTAGTCTTTCTATGACTCAACGCAAACGCAGCGGACAATGTACAAGATATGAACGTAGTTATACCACATGGCGTGGACAATGATTGGAATGTGAATACCCGGTATATGACAGCTGTCGGTGTTACAGGCCTGGGTGTACGTCTCCTTGCCCCCGTTGATTGGCTTACAGAACAGACCGCCCTGGCACTTCCTGGTTCTCACCACAGTCTGCGAGCCTCCCCCACAGCTAGCGCTGCACTCCCCCACACTCTCGCTCCACGAGGACCATTTGCCCCACACTGCAAACATTGCGAATATCAGGTCACGTGGGTAACCACCCATTTCTTAATTGTTAGAGATGAACTTCTTTTCAGTTTTTTTGTGGACATTGTGAATAATAACGTTATTGCTTCTTTTGATGTGCTTATGAAAAACATCAGCAAGTGTTGGTAACTGAGATATGCTGCAATATAGAATCTACACAGCTGTTATCATCTTAACCAAACTATCGGCATTAATAAAGAATTAAGGACTACTTATTCATTCATTATTGTCGTGTGGAACCTTTTGGCGAGTAAATGGACTGAACATTGAACATACCGAAATTTTGCTCAGGCTGGATTCTGAAAATGTCGAAAATGAAAACCAACTTAATGTTACAGTATGTGACAAGGTCAGGGCAGTGATGCAATAGAAGTATTCTCGAAACGGATCAGACAGATCTCTTTACTCGCATCCTAAGATTGGAGGAAGTTGGACGATATGTCCTCCACAATGGTAGAAGAACAATATACTTCTTTGACATATTCTGTGATATATACATCATTGTTGGCTTGTTGTCGTTCCCAGATAAACAAGCTGACCTGTTAATTGAACAATATGTGAATGACAAGATAAGTTCAATGTGGTGTATATGATAGAGGGTTAGTGACCTACTTTAACGGGATATAAAGGTCCAAGTAAAAGCTACAGAGTTCTCTATCTGTGTTATGTCACTGTCAAGTACTCCACGGCCACTTCCACGGCAGGGCACACGACAGCCTTGTATAAAGTGAACAGTGACAATGTTCACCCCCACTCAAGCCACACGAACTGATGGCACATCTCGAGGTACATGCAGGTGGAGTTGCACGAGTATATGAACTACACTGGTACATTGGCGCTTTATAATTGTTCTACGCCTTGTCCAAATGAGAAACACCCATAGAACCAGAGCTGTTTTTTAAACAATAAATTGGAGTCAGTATAATTGTAATCCGAGCCATTAAACCAGTGGGTGACATCATGAGCACCGTCGGGTAACGGGGACATCAACCATTCATTGTCACAAAATATATTAATTCAGTCTGCTCTTTGTCAAGCATGGGACTGGATTATTTCCCCTTTGGAAAATATATCTGAGTCTGTCTATCGTAAAACATACCAATCCACATAAATTCGAAGCAAAACAGTATCAATGTGGCATCAAGGGTATTATTAAATGCGAGGTGCCATATGATTTAACATGACCTACTCCGCACGCTACTTACGTTGTCCCAGAGACGACGGCAAGGACGGCCACGACTACCACTGCAACACACACAGTCTGCATCTTTTACAGTTGTGCCAGTCTACTAACCCCTGCTGTCTTTTATAGGAAATTCATCCAGTCTTTGAACTTTTAATATTATACTGTCGTAGAGGGGCACATAGAAACATATTTACAGAACGTTTCGAAAAGAAATACATAATAAAGGAACAAGTGAATTAGAATGATATAAATTGAAGAAGTTGACGTCAACGCACCTACCTTTGCAGTGTTTGAAGGCATTGGGGGGGGGGGGGGGGGGAGGGAGGGCTGCTTCATGTGAGTTGTGATTTATGACATTGTACCTGTGCGCATATAAAAGGACTGCACTTGAATTATAAGTTGTTCATCAATCTAGCTACAAAAACGTGTATTGACTAATTGTTGAAAGGGGGGGGGGGGGGGGGGGGGGGGGGTGCTGCTTCATGTGAGTTGTGATTTATGACATTGTACCTGTGCGCATATAAAAGGTGAGGTGAGGTGAAATTGGGTTTAACGTCGCGTCCAAGATTATTGCACTTATATAGCGACGTGCATGCACGTGTATGTGTGTGTGTGTGGCTGCTTGTACTAGTCAGGACTGATGCCGATTTATAGTGCTAGCTCACTGAGATACCATGCCGCAGTTTAACATGAATACCCCACTCAGACACAGTATACTGACTCCGAGCCGACCAGTCCTTGTTTTAGCCCCTTAATGCCGAGCGCAAGACAGGGTAACAACAAGTACAATCTTTTAACGTCTTTTTGCATGACGCGGCCCGGGATCGAACCCTGGACCTTCCGCTCTCCGGGCGGACGCTCTACCACAAGACCACGGAGGCGGTCGCATATAAAAGGACTGCACTTGAATTATAAGTTGTTACAAACATACAAAAAACGTGTATTGACTAATTGTTGAAAGGGTAATTTTGCAGCGTAAGTATGTTTGGTTTTAATTTGATCCTACTCATTTCCCCTTGATGTTTGTCCCACTTGAGAGTTACACATTCACAATGAGTGTAGCTGGTGTACAGTGTCCACTTGTGTAATACCCTTAATCACAGAGTGACAGACGGATAGTTTATTTGAGTTTTACCTTCAGTGCAACAATTTATAAATAACGACACACACACAAGCCCCATATTCTGGAACTTCGAGAGACTGGAGTTCATCTTCCGCACCATCATACACATCCGAGAATTCCTTTCCTCGGTCGCTAGATATCCATACATCCAAATTCTGGGGAAATGGGAGCAATCAATTAGCGATCAATGCATAAGGAACATAACGCTGTGTTTGCTGTTAAATTTTATTTTTCTGAAATAACATTCCGTGAATATAGACGTCTTTTATGCTTATTTGGAATTGGTGAATTACCACTGATGGTAAATATAGGTAGGAGATATGGTATCGAACGACGAACGGATTATGCACTCAAACCCAGTATTTCTCATCAGGAAATCGAAGATGACAACCATGTCTTACTAGTTTGTCCGTATTTTAGTTCCATAAGAAATGTATACCACGATACTATTTCAACAACCCTAATGTAATCAAATAAAATGATTATTACTTTGAGTAATTAACTGTGCTACATATGTGTTAGAAGCTCTTGCTTTACATGGGCCTGTGGTCTTTCTACTGAAGAAACCAATGAAATAGATAACTTGTAACTCTCTGTTTTTAGTTTATGTTATTTAGGTATCGAAAGAAGTTTTAACATCTGAACGGAAGCTCCTACCATGGCAAAAATGTACCTATAGCGTCCCCTAGCTAGTACCCCGTTCCCTCGCATTACTTTTCGACTCTCCTCGCTACATACAGGGGGAACACGATAAAGTAGCGGGGGAACACTATAGTATAACGTTTGTTTGTTGTTGAACGCCACTGAACAATAAATCCAGCAATACGACGGTGGTCTGTAAATAATCGAGTCTGGACCACACAATCCAGTGATTGACATAATGAGCATCGATTTTCGCAATTGTGATACGATGACATGCATCAACCAAGTCAGCGAGCCTGACCACCCGATCCTGTTAGTCGCCTCTTACTACAACCCTGGGTTGCTGAAGACCAATTCTTCATGTCTTAGGCATAGGATCGAACACGATATTATTGCGTTGTTATCCTCGCGGAGTCTCAAAGTCGGAAAAATTAATCCAACTCAAGTCTAAATGATTTGGCACGTCCAGATTGTCTCAGCCCTGAAATTAAGCATTGGTCTGGGCTTCATTTGGATTTCACTTATTCTTTCCGAGATATATTTAAAGATAACTTTGTTTCTGGGAAACTTTTGTTTCGGGGACTTAATGGTAATCTAAGCGGCCCCATCAACTGGCAAGCCCGCGTGTGAGACGCCTTGTGTGAACAGGCTGACGTTACCAGCTTCCCAAAGCCCGACTTAGTGGTCAGGAGCACGGTGTGCCAGAACAAGCATGTAGCATTATGAGAATCAAGGAGTGGTCACATAGTTTTAATATACCTAACAACGTGAGATCGACACTTGCATACGCTGGTTGGGCAACAAACTAGATCATTCCTGTTTTCGTCTTTACGTTCATCATTCAAAGTGCAGTAAAAGGTCTTTTCATCTCGCTTCGACAGCACGTTTTATATAATCAAGGGATGCACGATCGCATACCGAACTGACATACGCAGTACTTGCCTAAGCATGTTCACTGTGTCACTGCTGGGCTGGCTGATAACACCTTAGACTATATTACCAAGTGGAAGTGTGTGGCGTTCAGCTGATCTCGTGCAGCAGTGATGGAACGTTGGGCGGGTCGTGTTGCGTTGGTGACTGGGGCTTCGGCGGGGATCGGAGCCGCAATCACCCGATCACTGGTCAAGAGTGGGATGAAAGTAGTTGGATGTGCCCGTAATGTAGAGCGAATCCAGGTAATGTCCTAGATTGACTTCTCATCTCTATTCCTAAATTATGTTATCAGCAAACACCTATGATGCTATTTATAGCCATGTCCGTCATAAAGTTAACACCGGTGGATATACATTCCCGCAGTGTTGATGGCATGGCAAAGAGTGTATGCACTACATGTATATCATACTATACTATGCTTTCATATATTCGTGTTGTAGAAAATCGCCGACGAGCTGAAAGACGAGCCAGGATCACTGAAACCAGTGAAATGTGACGTCAGACAGGAGGAGGACATCTTGGCAATGTTCCAAAGCATTAAATCTGACCCTGACCTTGGAGGGGTGGACGTGTGTGTTAACAACGCCGGGTTGGGGCACGATACCTCGCTGATGGAGGGCAACTCAAGCCAGTGGCGGGAAATGTTGGATGTACGTACACACCTACGAGGAGTGGCATATCTCCTTTGTATTAAAATTGTATTTTTGTATCCATGTACTAATATTGTATTTCCCGAACGATACGAACACACGCATTGAGATACATGTTTAGGAGAATCAGTTTGAGACGTGTGTAATGATTCAACTAGTGTGAGATATTTTATCAATAGTTTGTGCTTCGTGTACTTTTAAAGAAAGGAAGGAAAAACGGACAAGATCAACAGTGACACAATAACAAAAATATGAAGAATGATATAGAATTTAAAAAATAAACAAATTCAGTGTTAAATGGTTTGGGACAGATATGTAACTCTGGTGTGAGGAATTGCGAAGCATAATAAGTGTCCTCCGAGTTGGTCCTCTGTATACCTGCTCTACATTGATATCTGTGTGTCTGTTCTTGTGTCCTACAGGTGAATGTGCCGGAACTGTGTATCTGTTCTTGTGTTCTCCAGGTGAATGTGCTGGCACTATGTATCTGTTCTTGTGTTCTCCAGGTGAATGTGCCGGCACTATGTATCTGTTCTTGTGTTCTCCAGGTGAATGTGCTGGCATTATGTATCTGTTCTTGTGTTCTCCAGGTGAATGTGCTGGCACTATGTATCTGTTCTTGTGTTCTCCAGGTGAATGTGCTGGCACTATGTATCTGTTCTTGTGTTCTCCAGGTGAATGTGCTGGCACTATGTATCTGTTCTTGTGTTCTCCAGGTGAATGTGCTGGCAGTATGTATCTGTTCTTGTGTTCTCCAGGTGAATGTGCTGGCAGTATGTATCTGTTCTTGTGTTCTCCAGGTGAATGTGCTGGCAGTATGTATCTGTTCTTATGTCCTCCAGGTGAATGTGCTGGCATTATGTATCTGTGCTTGTGTTCACCAGGTGAATGTGCTGGCACTATGTATCTGTTCTTATGTCCTCCAGGTGAATGTGCTGGCATTATGTATCTGTTCTTGTGTCCTCCAGGTGAATGTGCTGGCACTATGTATCTGTTCTTATGTCCTCCAGGTGAATGTGCTGGCATTATGTATCTGTTCTTGTGTCCTCCAGGTGAATGTGCTGGCATTATGCATCTGTTCTTGTGTTCTCCAGGTGAATGTGCTGGCATTATGTATCTGTTCTTGTGTTCTCCAGGTGAATGTGCTGGCACTATGTATCTGTTCTTGTGTTCTCCAGGTGAATGTGCTGGCATTATGTATCTGTTCTTGTGTTCTCCAGGTGAATGTGCTGGCATTATGTATCTGTTCTTGTGTTCTCCAGGTGAATGTGCTAGCATTATGTATCTGTTCTTGTGTTCTCCAGGTGAATGTGCTGGCACTATGTATCTGTTCTTGTGTTCTCCAGGTGAATATGATGGCATTATGTATCTGTGCTTGTGTTCACCAGGTGAATGTGCTGGCACTATGTATCTGTTCTTGTGTTCTCCAGGTGAATGTGCTGGCATTATGTATCTGTTCTTATGTCCTCCAGGTGAATGTGCTGGCACTATGTATCTGTTCTTGTGTTCTCCAGGTGAATGTCCTGGCATTATGTATCTGTTCTTGTGTTCTCCAGGTGAATGTGCTGGCACTATGTATCTGTTCTTGTGTTCTCCAGGTGAATGTGCTGGCATTATGTATCTGTTCTTGTGTTCTCCAGGTGAATGTGCTGGCATTATGTATCTGTTCTTGTGTTCTCCAGGTGAATGTGCTGGCACTATGTATATGTTCTTGTGTTCTCCAGGTGAATGTGCTGGAACTGTGTATCTGTTCTTGTGTTCTCCAGGTGAATGTGCTGGCACTATGTATCTGTTCCCGAGAAGCCTATAAATCTCAGAGGGAACGAGGTGTCAATGATGGCCACTTCATCCTTATCAACAGGTGAAAAGATACATTAATTCATTGCTCAGTTATATGACACGTTATTCAAATAGCCTCATCAGTTTCAACCCTTTAATTACACTGAAACCGTGCTGTCTCGAGGGAAGTAGCTTTGGGGCAGAATGAAGGACAACACTGTCACGGAATATTTTACACAATAAAACAACACATACGAAGAGAGCCTAACACTCACTCTGACATTTAAAGCACAACGATGAATGAGCTTTTCAGCGCAGGCATACGTGAGGTGAGTTCCAACTCAACCTGCGGGCGTTACCACACAGCTGCACATCCTGCTAGCATACTGCTGCTATGCTCATGACAATATAAACGAAGATCACTCGATGAGACACCATCTTCTTTGACAAGACACAGGGTCTGTCAATTGCGATTTGGGGGAAACAATAGTGTCATTGGGGATGACTGAAAGTGGTTCCTCATAAAGTGTACTTTCTCTCAGTGAAGTGTTGGTCATATTTCTACGTAGACGAGTAGCATCGAATTTCACCTCTACATTATACACTGTTTCAGCATGTCTGGCCACAGAATCCAGCTCAGCAAAAGCAACCACTTCTACGCTGCCACCAAACACGCCGTCACTGCCATACAGCATGGGATGAGGTTTGAGTTCAGGGAAGATAAAGTGGCTGCCAAGGTGACGGTATGTACATGATATCCATCCATGATCACAATGGATTTCCTTAATGTTGGTATTGGCACCTCAGTGTCATCGTTCCACTGAGATAGACCGACTGTCAACTGATTGCATGATGCAGACGACAAATAATAAGTTATCCACGCACCCATGTGTACAGACATATCCTATCATAGAGCTACGAGTAACCTACAAAAGTACCCCTGTAATAATGCAGTGAAGTTACCTAACTCACTAACTGACCTTGTGTCAAGAATGTTATTTTCCTATCTGACCTTGTGTCAAGAATGTTATTTTCCTAACTGACCTTGTCTCAAGTATCTTACTTTCCTAACTGACCTGGTGTCAAGAATCTTATTTTCCTATCTAACCTTGTGTCAAGAATCATATTTTCCTATCTGACCTTGTGTCAAGAATCTTATTTTCCTAAGTGACCTTGTGTCAAGAATATATTTTCCTAAGTGACCTTGTGTTAAGAATCTTATTTTCCTAACTGACCTTGTCTCAAGTATCCTATTGTCCTAACTAACCTTGTGTCAAGTATCTTACTTTCTAACTGACCTTGTGTCAAGAATCTTATTTCCGTGATCATGAATACTGCTACTTTACAGTCAATTAGCCCCGGTGATGTGGAGACGGAATTCCTGAACAGAATGTTAAAAGACGATGCTAAGGCTAAGGAAATCTATGGCTCGTCCACTGTAAGTTGTTACATTGAATGTCAATGTAGGTGTCCTTCCTACTATGCTGTTAAATATATCAATTATGGCTCAGAAACCACATTTCTGTCATATCTGCCTTTTGCACTACGATTCAAGTAAAACAGATCACTTAAGATGCCACCTTAAATGGCCTGAGTAACTGATTTTCGGATATTTAAATCTTGGTAAAATCGCAACCCTTTTAAAAGATGCATTGATATTGATTCATGTCCGAATGCACTGGAATGTTGCAGTGCCTGCAGCCGTCAGATATTGTGGACGCCGTCATCTACGCTCTCAGCTCTTCTCCACGGGCACAGGTACGCCATAGGACTCAAGACGTAATACTACTGCAGTATAATTTACATAAATTAACATTATCATGACACCATCGTTCTGCGGAGAAAATCTGCTTGAGTTGAAACATTGTATTTGGGTGTCCTTGTGCATCCATGGAATAGACTCACTCACTGGCTGCCTGAGATGGTGGCACATGGACTTTTTTAAAGTTATGTTATACTAGTATCGATCGTGTAGTTCCTGATCTTGCAATACTACATGCCCACTGAGTCAATGGCTACTGCATATATAATGTGCTTCTGTTGGCAGATCGACGACATCTGGCTCCGCCCAATCGATCAGCTGGACTGATGCACACCGCGACCTTTACCTGCCTGTCCTTGAATCGTCGCCAACTAGAATAAAAAGTTTTATAAAACGATTATGTCACATTTGCTAAGTATTTTAATCAAAACATGTTGAAGTTTTGGATACATATGGTGAAACTACGAATGGAATTTTCTTATGTTCAACGACAAATATATATTTTTTGGATTCTGTTCGATATCTTTATGATACCTTTTGATGTTCTTTTCCGAGCACGTTTATGATAATTAAATCTTGACTGAATCATCATTGCTGATAGCATTGGATACATTCAGTCAGTTATAAAGCCAACATTGCTGAACGCATTGGATACGTTTAGTCAGTTATAAAGCCAACATTGCTGAAGGCATTGGATGCATTTAGTCAGTTATACAGCCAACATTGCTGAAGGCATTGGATACATTTAGTCAGGTATACAGCCAACATTGCTGAACGCATTGGATACATTTAGTCAGTTATAAAGCCAACATTGCTGAAGGCATTGGATACATTTAGTCAGTTATACAGCCAACATTGCTGAAGGCATTGGATACATTTAGTCAGTTATACAGCCAACATTGCTGAAGGCATTGGATACATTTAGTCAGTTATACAGCCAACATTGCTGAACGCATTGGATACATTTAGTCAGTTATACAGCCAACATTGCTGAAGGCATTGGATACATTTAGTCAATTATACAGCCAACATTGCTGAACGCATTGGATACATTTAGTCAGTTATAAAGCCAACATTGCTGAAGGCATTGGATACATTTAGTCAGTTATACAGCCAACATTGCTGAACGCATTGGATACATTTAGTCAGTTATACAGCCAACATTGCTGAACGCACTGGATACATTTAGTCAGTTATACAGCCAACATTGCTGAACGCATTGGATACATTTAGTCAGTTATAAAGCCAACATTGCTGAACGCATTGGATACATTTAGTCAGTTATACAGCCAACATTGCTGAACGCATTGGATACATTTAGTCAGTTATACAGCCAACATTGCTGAAGACATTGGATACATTTAGTCAGTTATACAGCCAACATTGCTGAAGACATTGGATACATTTAGTCAGTTATAAAGCCAACATTGCTGAACGCATTGGATACATTTAGTCAGTTATACAGCCAACATTGCTGAACGCATTGGATACATTTAGTCAGTTATACAGCCAACATTGCTGAACGCACTGGATACATTTAGTCAGTTATACAGCCAACATTGCTGAACGCATTGGATACATTTAGTCAGTTATAAAGCCAACATTGCTGAACGCATTGGATACATTTAGTCAGTTATACAGCCAACATTGCTGAACGCATTGGATACATTTAGTCAGTTATACAGCCAACATTGCTGAAGACATTGGATACATTTAGTCAGTTATACAGCCAACATTGCTGAAGACATTGGATACATTTAGTCAGTTATACAGCCAACATTGCTGAACGCATTGGATACATTTAGTCAGTTACACAGCCAACATTGCTGAAGACATTGGATACATTTAGTCAGTTACACAGCCAACATTGCTGAAGACATTGGATACATTTAGTCAGTTACACAGCCAACATTGCTGAAGGCATTGGATACATTTAGTCAGTTATACAGCCAACATTGCTGAAGACATTGGATACATTTAGTCAGTTATAAAGCAACATTGCTGATCGCATTGGATACATTTAGTCAGTAATACAGCCAACATTGCTGAACGTATTGGATACATTTTGTCAGTTATACAGCCAACATTGCTGAAGACATTGGATACATTTAGTCAGTTATACAGCCAACATTGCTGAACGCATTGGATACATTTAGTCAGTTATACAGCCAACATTGCTGAACGCATTGGATACATTTAGTCAGTTACACAGCCAACATTGCTGAAGGCATTGGATACATTCAGTCAGTTATACAGCCAACATTGCTGAACGCATTGGATACATTTAGTCAGTTACACAGCCAACATTGCTGAACGCATTGGATACATTTAGTCAGTTATACAGCCAACATTGCTGAACGCATTGGATACATTTAGTCAGTTATAAAGCCAACATTGCTGAAGGCATTGGATACAATTAGTCAGTTATACAGCCAACATTGCTGAAGGCATTGGATACATTAAGTCAGTTATACAGCCAACATTGCTGAACGCATTGGATACATTTAGTCAGTTATAAAGCCAACATTGCTGAACGCATTGGATACATTTAGTCAGTTATACAGCCAACATTGCTGAACGCATTGGATACATTTAGTCAGTTACACAGCCAACATTGCTGAAGGCATTGGATACATTTAGTCGGTTAAAAAGCTATTTTTTGCTGAACACATTGGATACATTTAGTCAGTTATAAAGCCAACATTGCTGAAGGCATTGGATACATTTAGTCAGTTAAAAAGCTATTTTTTGCTGAACACATTGGATACATTTAGTCGGTTATAAAGCCAACATTGCTGAACGCATTGGATACATTTAGTCAGTTATAAAGCCAACATTGCTGAACGCACTGGGTACAGTCAGTCAGTCATTCAGTCAGACAGACAGACAGACAGACAACACTGCTGAACGCACTGGATACAGTCAGTCAGTCAGTCAGACAGACAGACAGATAGACAACACTGCTGAACGCACTAGATACAGTCAGTCAGACAGACAGCCAACATTGCTGAACGCACTAGATACAGCCAGTTAGTCAATCAGTCAGACAGACAAGACTGCTGAACGCATCGGATACAGTCAGTCAGACAGACAGCACTGCTGAACGCACTGGATAAAGTCAGTCAGTCAGACAGACAACACTGCTGAACGCACTGGATACAGTCAGTCAGTCAGACAGACAGACAACACTGCTGAACGCACTGGATACAGTCAGTCAGTCAGTCAGACAGCCAACACTGTCAACAGTGGAAGATACTTGTCGAATCTGAACCCTCTGGAAGAACAGTACTTTTGGTATCGGCCGACGAGTCAGTGAAGTAGTGCGACAGCCGAAATTGCTGTAGGTTGTATAAATGCGCAGTGAAGCGGTCATAAAATCAGACGCATTTTTTTCAATCCAAATTTATTCTGTCTAATTTTATTGTGATTCTATTGATTGTCCAATCAAATTTCAAGTACTTGTTGTAGAATTGGGAATATGTGAGTCCGGCAATCGGGGGCATGACGCAGCTGACACTAATGTCAGTACATTATATTAACATGAAGACAAATGGACAAAATTTAACAAAATTTCATAACGTTACATGCGGCATATTAAGGATTGGGTATAGTGAGAAACTGAAATAAAGCATTATTACAAACTAACGGTTGTGTTCAGTTGTGTTAAACCGGCCAAGGGTCAAATTGATAATGATCTTCAGACATAATCCAGGACAAGTATCTCTTATTGTGTTGGTCAGATAGAGTTAGACAAACACATGTAACGCATTAAAACCTTCAGCTTTGTTTATCACCCACGCTTAGCAGATTACATGCACCACATTTACAAACAGTGGCATACTAGCTTGTCAGCTATCCTTCTTCATTCTTAACTTCACTCATAAACACGTTCATCATCAATGCCTCTGCCACTAAATTCTGCAATTCCGTGGGGAAAAAGACTCAATGGAGTTCGCAATAACTTTATCGCCATTTAAATAAGAATATAAGATTACCCGAAGTAGGTATAATAGGTATAACACGGACGACAGCCACTCACATCACCCTGAGTCTGATTAATAAATGCACCGTTTATTCGTTACTATGTTTACTTTGTTAAATATTCACTCTGTGCTATATTTTACATTTGGCAATAACTGCAAATTCATGTGGTTATTGGAACATGTCATACTTATGTGTATATTTTAGAATGAATGATCTGTATTTCCTCCATTAATTTCGGAGAGTGGTTGAATGTAATGAATCGATCATGTCAGTTATGGTCAATTTCATTAAGTTGTTTTTAAACAAAGTCCAAAAGATATTCAATATACAGCACACTGTCCATCTTTTGAGTGTCGGCTCACTCGAGTGCACTCTATTTCGGGATCACTGGGGTGTACTCTATGTGTCAGCTCACTGGAGTGTACTTTACTTCAAGATCACTGGAGTGTACTCTACTTCAGGATCACTGGAGTGTACTCTACGTGTCGGCTCACGGGAGAGTACTCTATGTGTTTGCTCACGGGAGTGTACTCTACGTGTCGGCTCACTGGAGTGTAATCTACTTCGGGAACACTGGAGTGTACTCTATGTGTCGGCTCACTTGAGTGTGCTCTACTTCAGGATCACTGGAGTGTACTCTACTTCAGGATCACTGGAGTGTACTCTACGTGTCGGTTCACTGGAGCGTACTCTACTTCGGGATCACTGGAGTGTACTCTACGTGTCGGCTCACTGGAGTGTACTCTACTTCGGGATCACTGGAGTGTACTCTACGTGTCGGCTCACTGGAGCGTACTCTACTTCAGGATCACTGGAGTGTACTCTACGTGTCGGCTCACTGGAGTGTACTCTACTTCGGGATCACTGGAGTGTACTCTACGTGTCGGCTCACTGGAGTGTACTCTATGTGTCGGCTCACGGGAGAGTACTCTAGGTGTTTGCTCACGGGAGTGTACTCTATGTGTCGGCTCACTGGAGTGTACTCTACGTGTCGGCTCACGGGAGAGTACTCTATGTGTTTGCTCACGGGAGTGTACTCTACGTGTCGGCTCACTGGAGTGTAATCTACTTCGGGATCACTGGAGCGTACTCTATGTGTCGGCTCACTTGAGTGTGCTCTACTTCAGGATCACTGGAGTGTACTCTACTTCAGGATCACTGGATTGTACTCTATGAGTCGGCTCACTGGAGTGTACTCCACTTCGGGATCACTGGAGTGTACTCTATGTGTTTGCTCACTGGAGTGTACTCTACTTCGGGATCACTGAAGTGTACTCTACATGTTTGCTCACTGGAATGTACTCTACTTCGGGATCACTGGAGTGTACTCTTCTTCGGGATCACTGGAGTGTACTCTTCTTCGGGATCACTGGAGTATAATCTACTTCAGCATCACTGGAGTGTACTCTATGTG